GGTCCCTGAGCCTCCCCAGGTTTCTCAGGACCATGGTCCCCTCTCACCTGGCCCAGGAGCATCCTCTTCAACCCCGATGGCTGCTGCCTGTACAGCGGCTGCCAGGACTCACTGCGCGTCTACGGCTGGGAGCCCGAGCGCTGCTTTGATGTGGTCTCAGTCAGCTGGGGCAGGGTGGCCGACCTGGCCATCTGCAACGACCAGTTGGTGAGAGAGCAGTCGCCCGTCGCCCACCGCCCACCCTGCCATCGGGCCACCCAGCTGCTTTCACGAGCCCATCAGGCCCCCACCTCCCTCTGCCCCTGTGGGGACCCTGCCCACCCGTACCCTAGCCACTGCCGCGAGGGGCCCCACCCCAGCTCTGCCCTCCCTGCAGATAGGCGTGGCCTTCTCCCAGAGCAACGTCTCCTCTTATGTGGTGGACCTGACACGGGTCACCAGGACAGGCACGGTGGCCCAGGACCCCGTGCAGGACAGCCGGCCCTTGGCTCAGCAGCCACCCCTCCCTACCGCCCCCCTTCGGCGCATCTACGAGCGGCCCAGCACGACCTGCAGCAAGCCTCAGAGGTGGGCTCGGGGCCCGGGAGGCAGCCTGTCTCTGGGATGACTTCGGGGGGCCCAGCCTGACCTCACGCCCCGGCCCCCTTTCGGCCACCCTGCAGGGTGAAGCAGAACTCGGAAAGCGAGCGCCGCAGCCCCAGCAGCGAGGATGACCGGGACGAGCGGGAGTCTCGGGCCGAGATCCAGAACGCAGAGGACTACAACGAGATCTTCCAGCCCAAGAACAGCATCAGTGAGGCTGGGCTCCCCGACTTCGAACCCTGGCGCCCCCTTCTGTGAAATGGATGCAAATGATCCTTTCCAGGATGGTGCCCGTGTATTTCCTAATTCCCAGCCCCCCGCGGGTCGGGCTCTGTTGCTGGGTCCTCCAGGCCCCAGCAGAGCCCTGGCAGCCCCTTAGTCCCCGGAGCTAAGAAAGGCCCGCAGTGCAAATGGGTGGGAGGGTCCAGGGTCCCAGGTCAGCAGCCGCATGCCTGGGAACCACCTTCCATCCCATGTTCTGACCGGCCCCCGGACCCCAGGCCCCCTCAGCCCCAGGGGCTCAGACAGGAGCCTTGGGCAGCCAGCATGAATCCCCAACCCCCGTCGCCTCTACAGGTCGGACACCCCCCCGAAGAAGTGAGCCCTTCCCAGCACCCCCAGAAGACGGTGAGCGGGGGGGTGGGGGCGAGCCTGGCCTCCCAGCTCCCTGGTCCTCTACCCCCTGCACCCCGCCCCTTCCCCTCTGCCTCCCCTCTCTGGCACAACCCCAGCTTCCCTCCCACTGGCTAAGAGCACCTACTACGTGCTGGGCCCTGGTGGTCGAGCGAGAACGAGGCAGGCAGGCGCTCCCCTCGGGAGCCTGTACCCTAGTGAGGAGGGCGGACAGTAGACCACCATGCAGGCGGGCCTGGAGTCGATACACGCGCTGGGAACAAGCGGGGCCTGGGGAGAGAAGCCACCCACGCGTCACCAGCGCCCCCGGCACACGCGTTCCTCGTGGAGTGGCAGACCGCGGCCCCCTGGGGCTCCCTGGGTCCCCTCCACACGTGGTGCTAGACGCCCGCTTTCTGCCAGGCCTGGGACCAAGTAGGTAGAAAGTGAAGGACAGGTGCAGCCCCTGCCCTTAGGTCTCCCGAGGACCCACACTGCTGACACCGCCCTCCTTGGCTCCCCGCTGGCTCCGGCTCTGTGCCCCCAGTTACAGATGCTGTCAGGGTCTTACCCCGAGCCCTGCCTTCTTCCTGACCCAGAGATCCTTTCCTTTTGCCTCCAGACATGGCCACAGCCAAGGAGGCAGCAAAGCCCAGCCCAGCCACGGACACGCAGTTCCCGGTGCCAAACGTATGTCAGGGTAGAGGGCCGTGGCGTGAGGCCCAGGGAGGGGCTGGAGCCCTGACCCGGGGCTGGGGGCCTCCTGCCCAGGGGCAGAGGGAGCCCTCAGGCTGGCCGCCCACTGAGCTCCGGCCCTCCAGCTCGAGGTCCTGCCCTGGCCCCAGGTCGTCACATCCACCCCTGCGCCCAAGGCCGAGCCTGCCATCATCCCTGCTGCCCGGAACGAGCCCATTGGGCTGAGGGCTTCTGACTTCCTGCCCGTGAGTGGGGACCCAGCCCAGGGAGGGGGTGGAGGCCCGTGGGGCGAGGGTAGAGCTTTGCTGCCAGCATCTTGGTTCCCCCCCCACCCCACCAGGCGGTGAAGCTCCCCCAGCAGACAGAGCTGGTGGATGAGGACGCCATGTCGCAGATCCGCAAAGGCCACGACACCATGTGTGTCGTGCTCACCAGCCGCCACAAGAACCTGGACACCGTGCGGGCCGCGTGGACCACGGGCGACATCAAGGCAAGCGCCATCCCCAGCCTCAGGCCAAACCTAGCAGAGGGCCCCAGGGTGCAGGGAGGGGGGCAGGCAGCCCCGCCACCACCCTGTGGTTGACTTCTCCTTTTCCTTCCAACCTCGTCCTCATAAGCGGCCATTTATTACAAGCGGCCTCATAAGCACCGATATGGGCCTGGCTTTGCGCTCATCGTTTTAGGTGGCCTTTTTAATACCCCACAATAAACCCCATCGTCAGCACACCCAGGCAGGGGCCACTCCGTCCCCCGCCCCCCAGCCCCCCAGCCCTCTGTGACGGGCGCTCTGTTTGCACAGACGTCGGTGGACTCAGCCGTGGCCATCAATGACCTGTCGGTGGTCGTGGACCTCCTGAACATTGTCAACCAGAAAGCGTAAGTGGCTGTGGCGGGCGGAGCGGGCGGAGCGGGCGGGGCAGGGTGCTGAGGGCGCCTGTCCCTGGGCCTCTCCCCAGTTCCCTGTGGAAGCTGGACCTGTGCACCACGGTCCTGCCACAGATCGAGAAGCTTCTGCAGAGCAAGTATGAGAGGTATGTGTGGGGAAGCCCCGCCTGCCTCACAGCAGGGAGGGGAGGGGGCAAAGAGGCTTTTGCAGGGATCACGGGAAAGACCCCTCGGGGCGGGGCCCCCGTGAGGTGGCTGCGTCTGATCAGCCTCTGCCCATCTGTCTTTGTGTACTTGCTGTCTGTCTGTGGCTCCTTTTGTCCATCTGCCTCTGAAGCTATGTCCAGACGGGCTGTACCTCCCTGAAGCTAATCCTGCAGCGATTTCTGCCCCTGATCACTGACATCCTGGCAGCCCCACCCTCTGTGGGCGTGGACATCAGCCGGGAGGAGAGGTGAGGGGCCTGGTGAAGTGCCTGTGTTGGGAGCAGGGGTGCCACGCTGGGTGAGGGCACAGAGGCCCGGGGGCCCAGCCTGCTCGTGGTGGGCCCTGCTGAAACAGCTGTGGAGGAGGTCACTGTGCCCGGACAGAGCCCCTGGCTTGGGGTGTAGGGTGGGGGTAGCAGAGCCTGGGCCTCCATGGCCTGTCTTTGCCCTGAGCCCTGGTGTGGCCTGGCATGGCCCGGGGGAGGGGCAGGAGTAGTTAGGACAGGCGAGGCCCCAGGGTCAGGTGGGGGTCCAGCTGGCCACCTCAAGTGCTGCCCCTCTGCCCACAGGCTACACAAGTGCCGGCTCTGCTACAAGCAGCTCAAGGGCATCAGCGGCCTCGTCAAGAGCAAGTCGGGCTTGAGCGGCCGCCACGGCAGTGCCTTCCGGGAGCTGCACTTGCTCATGGCCAGTTTAGACTGAGGAATCCAGCGGGTGAGGGCACCTGGCAGCTCTTGGGGCCTGGCCTCAGCCTACACTCCTGTTCCCTGTGTGCCCACCGGCCCGTGAGCCTCTGCCCTGCCCCACTGCTGCCCTGTCGCCATCCTGGAGGCGACGGCACTGGCCCACCGGCCACCTCCACAGCCCCGAACTCGGACAACTGTCAGCAGTAGCTGCCCAGCTTTGCCCAACTCTTGCTTCCTGGGGCAGCCAAGCAAGCCCTGGGGCTGCTGCTGTAATTTATAAGGCAAATTTTATTAAATTTGTAACTATTTCCTGGTTTTCTTGCCGAGAGGGGCATATCTGGCCACAGGCTCTCCCAGGTCTGCAGGATCACCAGCCTGGCCTGGGCAGGGGCGGTGCATCAGGCTGTGGGGCCAGCAGGGGGCAGCAGAGTGCCAGGCCAACGGGAAAGGGCCAGTTCTGACTCATGGCGGGGGGGGGGGGGGGGGCGCGGGTGGGAGGGGAGAGGAGGCAGCAACTCTCCCTCCACAGCTGGGAGATAGGTGAGCCCCGCCGTCCCCTGCATCTCAGCCACACTCCCAGAGGTGCAGTGGGCCCCTCCCAGGCCAACAGCTGTGTCCTGCAGGGTGCCAGGACCCCCGTCTCACAGCCATGGCCAGCACTGCTGGCCTGGAGCCCAGCATGCGCCCCTGGCCCCAGGCAGCCTCCAGGCACGGGGCTGGGCGGGCGGTTCCCGTCCCCCCAGAACAGACCACCCTATGCAGGAGCCCCCAGGGCTGGCCGGCCAGCCCGAGCTGCCCCGACCCAGGGCTGAGCAGGGCTGACACAGCCCTGAGCAGGGGGCGTCCCTCCTGCTCCCGAGGCGGCAGCTGGCCATTCAGCCACTGCTGGAGGCCCCACTCACACAGTCTCCCCCCAAGGCTGGCACCAGGTACAGGCCAACACACCCCCATGGCAGGGGTGGGCGGCTGCCCGGCACTTGAGGTTGAGGTCCTGTAAACCTGGGGAGGAGGGTGGCACTCACCTGCAGCCAGTTCACTTACAGGACAAGTCCAGGGCCCAGCCATGGCTTCGCCCAGCCTCGAGGAGCCCCCATTTCCCACCTACGAGATGGAGGTGACAGCACTCTCTGTGGGCCAGTTGCTCACAGTCGGGAGGCGGGCGCCGGCCCCCGGCGCAGGTGTTCGGGACACGCCCGCCTGCCGGCCTGCCTTGGAGGGCCGTGGGGGCCGGCAGGCAGCGGGGAAACGGCTCCCAGTGGCCAGCGGTGCGCAAGACCCACTCTTCCAGACCACACTTGTGTAAAAAGGTTTTTATTTTAAGTAAAAATGGCTAAGCTTCCAAAAGTTCTTAAATAGGATTTCAGAGGGAGGAAACGTCGAGGCCAGCGCGCAAGGAGAGCCTGGTGCCAGGCCGATGAGGGAGCAGCAGGGCCCCGGCCCCGGCCTGCTGCCAGCCATCAGCGCCGCCCAGCCCGGGGCCGGTGGGGCCGTGCTCCTGCGTGCACCGCCGCACACTGCACACTATGTACACGCCCGGCGCGGGGCCCTCAGGGGGGGCCCCTGGCACGCCCACCCACCGGCCTGCTCTCGGGTTCCTGGGCCTCCCAGGGGCCCCTTGGCCGCCCGCCCTCAGGGGGCTGCCCTCCCCGCACCGCTGCCCTCCCCACAAGGGACCACCCTCTGAGGGTCCGGGCCTGCCAGGTGGAGCAGGACAGCCCTGCCCTTCCAACCCGTGTCATGTGCATCGAGAGCCACAGCCGAGAGACACCGTTTCCTTCTGAACATGTTTCTCATCTCAGGGGAGACAGATGAGGAGCCTCACTCTGGCCTCGGCCTCCCGGGCCCCAGCTGCAGCGGGCGCAGGCCGGCAGCCTCGGGACCTAGCCCCTGGCACGGCAGGGCGGACGCGTGCGTCAGTCCATCACACAGGCAACGGCCTCGACTTCCCTGCAGGTGGAGGGGGCTCGTTAGGCTCCGTATAAGAGCAGGAGGGAGCCAGGCAGAAGCAGACAGCGGGCAGCAGAAGGATAGCCCCAGCCCTGAGCAGCAGGTTCCCGGCGCAGCCCGGCAACCCAAGACGAGGTCAGGTGGCGGGCAGCGCTGGGCCACCGGCCCCACACTCACCTGGAGACTCTGCAGCCCCAGCCTCAGGCTGAAATCAAAGCAACAGGCGTCTCACTGCGGGGCTTGTCTCGGGCCAGGACCCCTCTGGACCCTGCCGCCCCCATGTACTCCCAGCGCTTGCTAGGCCTTTCTGTGACCAGGGCCACACTGGGGGCCAGAGGCCTGGATTCCAGTCCTATGACCAGGCTCACTCCTCATCTGGGGCATGGAGCATGGGGCAAGCCCTGCCCTTCCCGCCCCCAGAGCCAAGGCCCAGGGCTGGGGACGCCAGGCCTGCTGTGGAAGGCCTGCCGCCTGAGCCCTGCCAGCCCAGCCGGGGACACCCACGCACGCCCTGCGCCTTGAGGCGCTAGCCCAGCCAGGGGCCTGTGGAGACGGGGCCTTTGATGCCCCCTCTGTAAAACAGACCCAGCACTGTCTGCCCCAGTTCCTGGGGCCAGGGACAGCTGTGACACAGGCTCTAGAGAAGTTCTAGACACTTTTTTAAAAATAAAAAGCCTGCTGGGGTAAGGGCAGCCCCGTGGCTGCGACTGGCCTGTGCGGAGGCTCACCACCCACACCTCCCCGAAGACTCACCCGAGGGCTGCAGCCTCCTCCGCATGGAGCCTGGGCGGCTAGTGGTCCCAGAGCCGGGGGCCGAGTGAGCCCGGGCCGAGGGCTGTGGCGTCTGGCAGGCTGACTCCCACTGTGGGCAGGGGTGAGCAGGTGGGTGGGGGCCCTGCTGCCCCGCCCCCATCCTGCTGCCCCCCACGCCCTTCCCTGCCTCCTGAAACTGCTTCCTCATCTGCAAAACGGGCATGACGGCGATGCCCTGGTTCAGTTATTGCGAGAGGTAAACGAGAGAGTACACACAGAGAAGTGAACTACCTACTGCCGCGCACCTGTGTGCCAACCTGTGGCCTGCCCACCCCCAGCCAGCTTGAGGCCCCACAGGTACCTCTGAGGCCCAGAAATACTTGGACCAAACGAACAGGCTACTGGGTTTGGGATCAGGTTCTGGCCGCAGCCCCTCTGGCGTCTCTCCTACTCCACGCTGTCCCCCCTCCTTGCCTCCCATCCTGCCCCTGGCCTGAAGTCTGACTCAGCGCCCCTGAGACTGGCTTGTGCCATCTCCTTACCTCCAGGTGCTCCTGGCTGGACCAGGATCCCAGCTCAGCCCTGCGGGACCCAGGGCCCAGCTCCACAGAGCGGACCCTCTCAGCAAACTTGAGGGAGTAGAGGGTCTCGCTGGTGTTCTTCTCCACGGGGGACACCTAGGGGACAGGAGGGCTCGCTCACCACCCAAGCCAGCTGCCCCCACAGAGCTGGAGGGGGCAGCATGCTCACGAGAGGGCGTTCACGGCCAGGGGACTCTAGCCAAGATGGAGAACCTTGGGAGGCACGCCGGGTGCATGTGGTCAGGCCTGGTGGGGAGGCTGCGGGGGTGCACAGCACTGACTCTGGAGTTGCTGGGGACGAAGGTCCCTCCCTTACACAGCTTGGGTAGCTGGAAGGGGTCCCTGGCCTTGGTGCTGGCCAAGCCCACCTGAGGCCCTCACCTGGACCACCATGAGGGTCTTGCTGTCCCCGCTGAGCGAGTCTTGCAGGAGGTAGGTGAGCTTGGAGTTGCGAAAGGGCACGTGGCCTTGGCGGGAGCGCAAGGCCGCGATGACGTCCCCCAGGGCCGACAGCGACTTGTTGATGTGCTGGGCCTCCCGCAGGCGGCTGCCCTCAGCCCCGGACTTGCCCACGCGCTCCGAGCCGGCCAGGTCCACCAGGTTCAGCTTCCCTGCGGGGAGAGCACCAGGCAGGTTAAGGGCGCCCCGGGCGGGGGCGGGGCGGGGCAGGGCGCACTTGCCCGGCTGCCGGCGCCCTCACTCACCTGTGGTGCGGAGGCCGGTGCTGCAGTCCACGCCGCGCACCGTCACGATGAGCAGGGCGTGTGAGCGGGAGCTGTGCTCGTTCAGGTTGGTGAATTCCGTCGTGCGGTTCGTGTGGCCGAACTCAAACACCTGGGGGCGGGGGGTGGGCATGGCAGAGGCACAGGGTTTGAGTGGGGCCTTGGAACTGCCCCGTCCCTGGGGACCCCTGTGAGGCGTGTCGCCCTCTGTATTGTACAGAGGAGGAAATTGAGGCTCAGAGAGGAGTGGGGACAGGGCTGAGCCGAAGCGGCTCAGCTCTTGGGGGATCTCCCCGCATAGCCCCTCCACCCCCCAGCCCCGCACCTTGTTGATGTCCTCCACGCTCTGCACCTGGAACTCAGTCAGCCCTGGCACGTACAGCTGCCCACTGCCATCTGGGCACAGCCGGATCTCCAGTTTCTCCTGGGGCTCCTGCCCCAGCAGGTCCCTGGGGGGGCAGGTGGGACAGTCACTCCCTCCCCCACACCTCGTCCCCCTCTGCTAGCACCGCACCAGCGCTGAGCCGGGAATGTGGCCCCACCCAACCCTCACACCCTCAGGAAGCCTTCCTGGACCACTGGGGGGGGGCCCTCCCGTCCTCCCCACGTCCCCCCTGCACTCAATCTGCTGAAGGATGAGGCCACCTGTTCCCCAAGAGGCCTGCCATGGTGCTACTCCCACCCCGACGGTGCACTGGTCTCTGTGGGCAGGGCCTCCCAACCCCCACCCTCACTCATCACCGTCTGGTACAGCCTGGTACGGGGAGGACACTCCAGAGGGAAAGGGGCACGACTGGGCACGCCGGGGGCTCAGGGAGAGCCCCCCGCCCCTGCCCGCTGGCTGGGGCAGAGAGGCCGGGACCAGCAGACCCTGGGGCTCAGTCCTGACGTGCAGCCCCGATCTCCCTTCAAGGAGACCTCACTTCCCATCCCACATGGCTCTGCGCCAGGGCCGCCCACCTGCGGGCCTCAAACCCAAAGGCCGCCCTCCTGCGGGCCTCAACCCGAGGGCCGCCCACCTGAGGGCCTCGTTGTAGATCTCGGCCGCGCTGACAGTGATGGTGTACTCCCAGTCGGACGCCTTCTCCTGCACCTCGGTGAAGAGCAGCTGCAGGGCCCGCTGGTTGATGCCTGGGTTCTCGGGGGTCCCCTGGGGCAGCAGTGAGAGCCCAGTGAGCTGGGCCCCCCCCACCACCAGGGGTGGCCCATGCAGGTGCTCACAGGGCGTCCATGTGCGCCCCCCAGCTGCCCCTTGCAGGCCGGCCTCCGTGCCTGAAGCTCCCATCCGCATGCTGGTCTGCCCCCAAAACTCTCTCTAACAGCTGCAAGCAACTTCATTGACCTCCCTGGGCCTCAGTTTCCCGGCACCATCCTGCCAGAGCCGCCCTGAGACTTCAAGCAGAGCCCCCGGGTGAAATGCCTGGGGTGGGGGGGACTGCGCACAGGGGCTGCTGAGCGCCAGGTGTGTACCCGCCCCTGGCGAGCCACCTCGAAGGGGCCCCGGGGAGCTAAGATTTCCCTGCCACTGCCCACGTTGGGGTCCAACATCGGCGAGGCCCAGAGCTGGGCTCTGCGGGTGTGGAGGGGGAGGCACAGGTGGCCGGCAGGTGCCCTGGGGCCCGATGAGCTGCCTGGCCTTTCTGAAGGGAAATCTCACCTGGGCTCGCGCTTCCCCTAAGATGGCGCCTCCTGCCAAAGGGCCCTCCCACTCCCCTTGTCCGGACACCAGGATACCTGCCCTCCTCCTCTACCCAGGGAACCCCACAGCTCCCTCTCAAGAGCCAGGAAAATGCTAACAAACCAAAGACGCCCCCGGGGCCAGCCTTCCCTTTTTATCTACAGTGAAGGTGCTTCCTTGTGTGGAGGCCCCGGTTCCCCGCGGAGAGACCCAAGCAGGGGACAGACCCAAGCAGGGAGATGAAGCCCTGCGCTGGTAGTGGCGGCAAGAGCTGGGTGCCCCATGACAGTCGTCACCAGTCTGCACTGGGCCAGTCCCTGCCACTGCCTGGGGCCTCCTCTACAGCAGAGACCTGCCCACATTCATTCCGACCATCCCAGGGCCCAGCGCGGGGCAGCCGTCCAGCAGGAGCCCAGCAGATGTGCGTGGGCGATTCATCGACAGCTGGTCCTGAGAGACGGACGCCGACTTCAGGCCAAGAGCCTCCTGCTGCAGGTTTCTTCGCCTCTCCTACCCACTGGGACTGCCACAGTTGCCCCCTCTTCAAGCCTGGCGACTTGGGTGGTTGTGAAGACCCAGGAGGGCGAAACACACACCACGCAGAACCCCGGGACCAATGAGGAGACCCCCTGTTGATGGCTGCAAGGGGTGGTCCTCAGTGTCTGAATCCCTGTCCCATCCGGCGGGTACCCACCTCCATCGTGTACGTCTTGCCGGCGCCCGTCTGGCCATAGGCGAAGATGCAGACGTTGTAGCCGTCGATGCAGGAGGTGATCAGGGCCTGCACCTCCTGGAACACCTGGGGAGGAGACGTGAGAGGGCAGGTGTGGGGCTGCCGGGGCTGCTGGGACCAGGGTCCCCCACTGGCTCTGAGTCCAGCCACCTCCCCCCAACTGCTCTCTACTTCAGCAATAATACAGCACATTCTTGTGGACAACCGGCTCACTGTGGAGGAATTCGTGACTAATACGCCACTTGGATTAGACAGTAACGGTAACCTGGTTGCCCAAAGCCAGAAGGGGAGACAGCGCAGAACTTGCTGCCTGCCAACACCTGAGGAAGGGGCAGCTCAGCCTGGGGGGCTCCAAAGGCCCACCCCCAGCCCCAGGGGGCGCAGCAAATCGAAGGCAGAGGCCAGCCACCTTCCCAGCACCTCCTCTGCCTGCCTGCCTGAACGTGGGCCGGGGCTAGGGCAAGGGTAAAGCCAGGCACAGAGACAGCAGAGCACCAGCAAGGCAGGCCTGGCAGGCTGGCCCTGGCCGAGATGAGACAAGAGCCGATGCTGAGATGGCTTGCCTCTCACTGGCTGCAGGGACCTGCACTCAGTGCTGTTGATGGGAGGGGCCATGTGGGTGGGTGCAGCTTTGGGTGGGAGGGGCCATGTGATGGGTGGAGCTTTGGGTGGGAGGGGCCACATGGATGGGAAGGGCTGTACAGGGACCTGTCCTTTCCAGGAGAGGTTTCTAGGGCCCTCAGTCTTAGCTTCCCACCTTCTCTCCGGAGGGGAAGGAGAGAGGGCCCCCAGCACCCAGGCTTCTCTGTCCTGTCTTCCTCCACTCTCGACCCTCCCACCATCTCCCCCTTTCCTGGTGAGTCCCTCTGTGACGCCCTCTCTCCACTTCTCTCTGTCCCTGTCCCCCGCCACCCCCAAGAGCCACACTCACGTCCTGCTGCGAGGCCCTTGGGGAGAAGACCTTGTCCAGCTCGAAGGACACAGGCTTTCCTTTGTGCAGCAGGTGGATGATGGAGTCGTCGTCAGGATCGAAGGTCACGGCATTGGTTGCCTCAGGTCCTTCCCCATCCTCTTTGGTGATTGGCCGGACACGAGCGATCACTCGGATGTTCCCTGGATTGGGTGGGGGAGGAGAGAAGGGTACAGGCCATGTCAAGACCAGACTGCTCTGTGGCCAGTGGTGTCCTAAGCAACCTAGTGGCGCAGGAGCCTCCTGCCTTCTAAGCAAGGTCCCCGGGACCACAAAGCTGTTACCAGTCACTCACACTATAGTATGAACTCACTTATGGGTACATTTTCTTCCTGAGCAAACCAGTTGAGGGCGGGAGCTTCACCTTGGGACAGGGAGAAAAGGCCAATTGTAAGGGTCATGTGGATGGAAGGAGGGGGATACCAGTCTGGTTAGAATAACCAAATGGACACTCTCTGTACATCTCTGGACTTCAGTTTCCTCGTGTACACAATGAGGGCTGGGTCCCAGTCAGCCAAGGCTTGTTCTGTCATTCAGAAAGGGCCCTGGGAACGCCAGGATGGGGCTTGGGAATCAGAAGGGAAAACCGGCCCAGACAGCAGCAGGTGGACGGCGGGCCACACACTAATGGTACGGGCAGCAGGGCAGCCCCGGGGGCATTGGGAAGCGGGTCTGGTCGTACCACCCCCTCGCTCCCAGCCCTTCAGTGGGATCCCAGCGTTCCAGAATGGGGAGAAAGCTCCCCACCATGGCCAGCATGGGTCCACCCTCCTCCATCACCTGTCCACTCCAACTCCCAGTCCAGCTCTCAGGTCTAGCTCCGCCTCCTCCAGGAAGCCCCCCTACTGTCAGATACCCAGGGGCTCCTGGCACACCTCTCCAGCCTGCTAACAGAACCCCTGCTGGGGTTCTCTGGCTAATGAAGGATCACAGTCCGCGCTCCCGGCTGAAGTGAGCCCCGTGAGGGCAGGGATGGCGTCTGCGGGGCCCCAGCCGTATCTGTCTCAGCGTCTGGAAGGGCACCTGGCACGGAGCAGGCGCGCTCCCTGGACCTTTTCCCAGTGAACACGTGGAGTCTCAAGCTTGACCTGGTTCTTGGTCAGAACAAGTGGCAGTCACCACCCAGTTTCAGTACCTGACCCCGCGGCCACCCCGAGCCAGGGCGTGGCCTGCTGTGGACATTGGGCAAGGGCTTCTGAGTGGGACAGGCCAAGTCCCTGACTTCTCTGTGTCTCTGGTGCCTTATCCTCGAAGAGGGAATGACAAGAGCTCCTCGGCGACAGGGCACAGCTCATGGGAGTGGTGCCGGGGGCCGTGTGGAAGGGCAGGACCTCCAGGCCAGGCCGACCACCCCTATGCCAGGCACCTCCCTCCCTCCTGCCCAGTAGTCACCTTTCAGCCGCACGAGCTCATTGTGGCATTTCTTGCGCAGCTGCAGCTCCCGGCGGTACTTGCGCAGCAGCTCCTGGTTGTTGCTGTTGACCTCCTCGATGGCCTGGCCGATCTGGTGGGGGCCACACAGTGCCATCAGGGGGCCAGCTCCATGGACAGCCTGCCCCTAGGCAGGCTGAGCACTGTCCCCCGCCCTGGCTGAGTCCTGGACACGTGCTGTCGCATGTCAAATTTTCCCAGTAACCCCTCTGGGTAGGCGCTGCTACCAGTCCCATTTTACATAGAAAGAAACTGAGCCCCAGAGAGGCTCAGCCAATAGTTCAAGGTTGCCCTGCTAAATAAGCAAAGAGCTGGGACTCAGCCTCACTCCACAGCACTTGCACTTGACCACAAATTTGGCTGGACCCAAATCCCAGCTGTGCCCTGAGTAGCTGGGGGACCTGAGGCAGCATGCTCCATGTCTTCAAGCCTTAATTTTCTCATCTGTAAAATGGGGATAACGCCATCTAACTCTAGGTGGATCTGTAGGAGCTGGTAGGTAAAGATCTCCAAGTTGCATTTCACAGGGGAAAGAAGCCAGCTGCAGCCTACACATCCACACGTTGCCCCAGTGGGCAAGAGGGCACAGACCCCCGTTCCTCACGCTCACAACGTCCCGGGGGACACGCTGGCAGAGAGACCGCCTTTGGGGAGCGGGCGGCAGAGAGAGTCCTTTCTGTTTCATCTGATGCCCTTCTGCAGGGTTTGCACTTTGTACCGCATCCATGGATTACTGACATCGTAGTTTAAAGAAGAACTATTTTCTACTCCTAAAATATCTCAGTCTCTCTACCCTGCAGAGCTGTCATGCAGATTCAAGGAGCCAACGGCTATATAAGGCTCAGCATGTAGGAGGCACTTAAGAGATGTTGGCTATTCTCATGTTGAATAAGCGCAGCTTGAAAAAATTAAATTAACCCTAACAGATGTAAGAACATATGTAGCATGTTCGTGATATAAGGATATCTGTAACATGTCTGGGTGAAAGACTCATAATAAGATAAATGTCCAAATACCTGCCCCAGACCAGGCTTTTTCAAACGAGATCTGGGGTGGCAGTGTGTGTGTGTGGGCGGGGGCTGTTGTCTGGGAGGCTTTGTCTGCATCTTGGAAGAGAGCCCTGGGCAGAGGCTGCCCCTTCCCAAGGGCTCGGGGCCGCTCCCAGCCCCGCCCCCACGGCCTGCCCTCACCTCCGCCTTGACGCTCTTGAGGGCCTCCTGGAGCAGCAGGGGGAAGCCCCGCACCTGCCGCTTGAGCCCATTGTAGTCGTTGGTGAGGGTCCGCAGCGCTGGCTGCAGCGTCAGCAGGTTGGTCCGGACGCCTGTGGGGACAGGGCGGGTGTGAGGCGGCCCGGCCAAGGGCTGCGGCGTGGGGCAGGCCAGGGCCCGGGCCAGCTCACCTGCCAGGTTCTCGTGCACGGCCTTCATCTCCACCTGGGCCCTGGCAAAGGCCTCCTCGATGGCCCGGTTCTTGTCCTCCTCCAGGCACTGCATCTCCTCCAGCATCTGCCCGTGGGCCCGTTCCAGCTCTGCCTCGTACATGGCGATCTGGCGGCCAAGGCCAGAAGCAGCTCAGTATGTGGGGCTCAGGAGGGAGGGGGGCAGGCGGGTGCCAGGAGGGCTGAGTGCCCCGTGCAGCTACTCCCCTGCGTCGCCCCAGCACCAACCTGTGTCCTGGCACATAACAGGTGCACAAGCCCCAGGACAGCAGGGAGAGTGTTTGCTGTGATACTGACTAGGCGTGTGCGCTCAGCCCTGTGAGAAGAGCCCCCTGCGAGTCTGCCCCTGAGCACCACTGTGGGGTGGGCTTTGGGATCACATCATTTTATAGATGAGGAAAGACAGACTCAGACAAAGCTGACCCTTGGTCACACGGTCAGCGGGGAGAGGAGGGACCACAGCCCAGGCCTGTTGCACTGCACCAAAGGCTGACCTCTGCTCCCCGCCAGCCACGCGCACCCCCACACGGCCTGCACACCTGCGCCCGGAGCTGTGTGGTCAGCTGGTGCGAGCTCTGCAGCTGCTGCTCCATCTCCTTCAGCACCTGCCTCTGCATGGCCACCTGCTCCTGCAGGTGCTGGTTCCGGGCCTGGGACTCATTGAGGGCCTGCTTGGTCTTGGGCGACTCCACCTCCACCGTCCTGATGACATACTGCAGGCAAGAGAGGGACAGGTACATGGCGGTGCAGGGCACCTTGACCTCACTCTGGGGCCCTGAGACACAGCTGGCCTGGGGGCGGGGGGATCCTCAGGGACATCCCACCAAGAGCCTGGAAAAAACTAGAGATGCCACGAGGTCCTGGCTTTCCAGAATCTTGCACGGGCCTCCTGCAATCTTCTCGTCTTAATGAGCCCACTGTGAGCCAGGCTGTGGCCCCAGCCGGGCACAGAGCAGACAGAAGAGCAAAGATGAGGGTGGGACCGGGCGATGCCCTACGTCCACGCCTGGCCCGCAGTGGGCACTTCGAGCATTGGTTGCCGGAGGCCCACCAGGTGCCTGGCCCTGGATGGCGAGAGGGGGAAGGGCCAGAGAGAGACTGAGCGCAGAGCTGGAAGGCTGCCTTCATCCACTCACGCCCGCACCTGCGCGCCAGCCCAGCGCTGGGGACCAGTGGCCGAGCGCGAGGCCGAGTCCAGGCTTGCACGGGCTCTGCGCAGGGCCGCCGGGCCGAGGCTCACCTTGATGGGCGGCGACTGGGCCCTCAGGCTGGCGATGGTCTCATGGCTGTCGCGCAGGCGCCGGCTGAGCCTCTCCTCCTCCTGCGCCTTCTCTGCCAGGCAGTCCTTGAGCCGCAGCTCCACCTCGGCCAGCCGGTTGGTCTTCTGCTGCACCTCCAGGTTCAGCTCTGACAGCATGCTTTTGTTCTCCGCCACCTCCAGCTGGAGCTGTGACAGCCTGTCCCGGAGCTGGGCGCTCTCCTGCAGACGGGAGACGAGGCCAGGACGTGTGTGAGGCAGGCCAGGCAGACAAGCAGGCGGGGCGTCGCTGTGAGGAGCTGGGGCCCCTGTTAGGAACGGGGCCCTGTGGGGCCACCTGGTCCTGGGCGCACCTGGCTGTGCTCGCAGCCTGCGCAGGGGGCCGCCGGCTTCGCACGCAGCTCCTGTAGCTCGGCCTCGCAGCGCCGCATCTCCTGCCTCAGTCGCTCATTCTCCACCATCAGCAGGTCCCGGTGCTTCTCCAAGTCCGTGCCTCCCTGCAGGGTCAGCCCAGGGGGGCATGTGGCCAGGGCAGATCAGGGGAAGCAAGGAGGGTGCGGGGCGGAGAGAATGCCAGGGCAGGGGAGAGAGGGGGAGGGGCGGGGGAAAAACAGAGAGGAGAAAAGAAAAAGGCGAGTGATGGAGAGGAGAGAGAAGGGGCTCAAGAGAGAAATAAGGGTGAAGGCAGAGGAGAGAGAGATCAAGAGGGTGGTGAGGCAGGTGCAGCTCCCAGCAGCACCCACCCCTTTCATTCTATTTTCCTGAGTGTGAAAGTAACAGAAGTCACATTTATACAAAGTTCACACTTATACAAAGCTCACACTCCCGTTCTACTTCAGCAAAGGAGCATTCACCTCCCTCCCCTCAGGGGTCCCATGACCTCCGAGGACCTAGTGCCGAGTGATAAGTACTCCCCCACTTGTGCAGCACGGGTCACACCCCTCATCAGAAGGTGCCTGTCTGCACAGGGCCCATCAGCCCCGCCCCCACCCGCCCCACGCAGGATGCGTGGTTGGACTCACCAGCTCCGACCGGAGGCGGCTCACTTCCTGGGCCTGGCCAATGAGCTTCTCCTTCAGGTTTTCCACCTGCCGGTACAAAGCCAGGGTCCCCTTGAGCCTTGATCCTAACTTCCAGCCCACACCCAGGCCTCAGCCCCTGCCCTCCCTGTGTTCACGCAGCAGGCCACACCTGGGACTCCAGGTGAGGGACACCTGGCCTGGTCCTGACCGTCACCGCAGGACCTAGCCAGCCTGGGCTCGCGGGGAATTCTGGGGGGAAATGCAGCAGAGATGATCCCTGTGCCACCTGGGGCTCACGCAGCAGGAAGCTCACAGAGATTCAGGAGACACAGGCCCCTGCTAAGGCCTGTATCTAGTTTTGTGTTTGTAACTCTATATTCTTTTTTCTTAAAAGGACCCCCCAAACTGCATGAACTGTAGGCACTATAAAATCTGGATCCGTCCTTGCCCAGCCCTAGAACTGTCCACACTGAGTGGCTCCTGGGGAGGCCGCCTGTGGGGGCGGGCCTGCTAGTGACCAGGGTGCACCTGGAACCAGCATCATCCACCCCCGCTCCCAGCCTGCCTCCTTGCCTCGCAGGAAAGTTAGAGCCGGAGGAGGCTGTTCGCAAGAGAAGCGGGTGTGCGCCCCATCAGGAGGCAAGGGTGACTGGCTCAGCCAGAGCCCTGGGCGGGAAACCAGCCCCCACCCCCACCCCCACCCCTGCACCGAGAGCAGATCCCAGGGTGGAGACCCTTCCTGGAACCGTCCTCCTGCTGGTTCCGCATCAGGAACCTCTCCTTGGAAAAGAACCCAAAATGCGGACAAAGATGTCGGCCTTGGCCTGGATATGGGCGCCCTTTCTCTTGCAGAGCAGCCTCTGATGGCTGCCCAACAGCTTGGAAAAGGAGCAGCGAGAGTCGGACCTGCTCTGCAGAGCCTTAGGAGGTGCCGCCTACACAGCAGACCACGACACACTGGGTTCTTATTTGTAAATGACAGGTGACAGAGTCCACTGCCCCCGGGGCCCGCCCGCTAAGGCAGGTGAGGGGCGGTGCAGGACTGAACACCCGAGATGCACCTGAAGGAGGCAGCCACCATGCACCCCCCACAGCCAGGGGGACACAGGCTGTGTCGCCAAACTCCTGACCTTTCAAGAGAGGCCAGGCATTGGGATTTCTTGGTGGTGGGGGGGTGAAACCTCCCGAGACGGCTGAGGGGCCGTCGACAGCGTGTGGGCAGCGCGGATGGGAGCGCCTGTCTTCGGGCGGGAGAAGGCGGCTGAGCCGCAAGCCAGGCCTGTGGCTTTGTGAGCCGGCCGGCCAGCCAGCCATGGGCCCCGCCCGACCTCTGAGGCAAGGCCAGGACACCAGCCTGCGCACTCATGGCTGGGGACGAGGATTCCAAGACACAGACCCAGAGAGGGGCTGGGCGGCTGAACCAGGCTGCCCCAGTCGTCCTAGTGGACAAGCAGGTGACCTACGGGCACAGCCAGGTGACCACAGGACCAGGGTGGTCCCAGTGGGCTCCATTCCTAACAGCCCTCCAAGCAGTGTGCCAGGCTATGGGCCACACAGGGGGCACAGCTCATGCCGCCTCGCTGCACCCTCCCAATGCCCCCTCCTGTTAAGAGCCTGGTGGGAGGGGTGATCAGTTCCCTGGCCCCAGATGGGACAGAGGGACAATCTGCACAAGGCAGTGTTTCATTCCTTAGCCATGAACTTGGGAACCACCTGGACCGCCAACCTTAGGGAAGGCTCCGGCACGCAACAGCAGGTGCACACGCAGACCATCGGGCACTCATCCGTCGTGTTGATCAGGAGTTTTAAATGGCAGCGGGGGAAGGCCCCTCGACACAGTAAGTCAAAGAAAATCCCCCAAACAAAACCCTGTGAGCAGCACCAAAAAGTAGAGGTCTCTAGACCGTGAAATTATATTTGACCAATTTAGGCTTTTCACTAATTTTTGAGTCTCAGAAAATATGTATTCTTCTTGCACCCCCTTTCACCCTGAAACAGGTGGGTCTGCCTCCGTTTGAAAGGTTGGGGCCCCCGAACCCCACTGCCCTACCCCAGCAATCACCCCAGGGCCATCCGTCCGCACAGAATGGGCGCCCCAGCCAGGCTGTGTCCTCAGCACCGGCTGGGTGTGCTCTGGCCTCACTTGTCCCCAGCACACTGCCTGGCACTCAGACCCCGCTGCCATGAAAGTGGGCTTGTCCAGGGTCTACCTGGGGTGTGAGGATGCCCACCTGCCACCTGCCTGCAGCCCGGCTCCTGTTGCCTTCTTGCATCACAATTGGAACCCCAGGTGCTCCCGGGTTCTGCCTGGAACCCTGAGGGACGCTCCAAAAGGGTGTGGCTGTGAAGGGGCAGAGGGTGTGGGTGGGAGGCTGAAGACGAGGCTGTAAACGACCCCTTTTGTCCAAGATACCAGGCCCTCAGTCATCTCCTGGCTTGTCTAGGACAGAAGGGGACAGGGTTTGACACTGCGGGGCGGTCGGTCAGAGGCACAATGGCTGCACCTGGCAGGCAAGGCCCTTTTGGGGCTGGGGAATTAGACCCTGTGCTGCCCTGGAGTGGGACCCTTGTCCTCTGCCAGAGGGGTCTGCCTCAGGGTGTCTTGGGGGGAAGGTGCCTCAGAGTCAGGAAAACAATGAGCAAAGAGACAGACGGAGGCACCAGCAGGAGCTCAGATGGGAGACGGCAGACAGGCTCGGAGCCGAGGGCAGAGAGTGGGGGGCTGAGGGGGAGCCTCACGAGAGAGGACGGACTTCCCCAGGAGGGGGCCCCAGTAGACACCCCCATCACACACCCACCACAGCTCTGCATCAGCAACGGTGCTTGCATGTGTCCGCAAAGAGGGGAGGGACCCTCTCCATTGCTCATCCCGCGCCCCAGCCCCAGCAGGAGGCCAGCACACAGCAGATACTCAGTAACCACTGCAAGTACCAGCAAAGACGCACTCCAAGTGCAAAGCAGCCTCCTGACAGGCTGCTGTGATGGGCTCCAAGGCAGCTCAGTGTCCGCCCCAGGGGTGAGGAAGGGACCAGGCTGGGCTTGGGCAACACCCCTCTCCAGGCCCTGGCGCCCCGTCCACCAGAGAAACTGAGTCACGAGCCTGGGACAGAGGGGCCTTGGAAGAGCAGGGACCTGGGGCCTGACGTTTGTATCTCTCAGTGGAAGCGGCTCCCCGGGGGCAGGGCTGCCCTGCGCAGGTCTGTTTTCTCAACGCAGTCAGCCTGCACTTCGCGCTGTGCTGGCCACCAGCAGAAGTGTCTCCTCGGGAAAGGAGGCTCCCCCAGCGGCAAGGCTGAGGCCTCACTCAGAGGGGGAGGCCAGAGGGCCTGGGACCCACCGGGCCCCGAGGAAACAGCCCGAAAGCCAGAGGGGCAGCCCCAAGGAGGACTCCACCCTGCCCTCAACGTACCCGCTCTCCGGGAGACCTGACTCCTGGCTCCACGGCCGCTGACCAGGCCTGGCCGGGTCCATCCGGCCCTGCCTCCACTGCCAAGTTCCTACGTTCGAGTCCTGCCACTGCGGGGCGGCTGGAAAGCGCGCGCTCCCCGGCCAGAGTGCCCAGGCTCTACCGCGGGCATCGCCCTGCCCACCGCCCAACCTCAGACAAGCCTCCACTTCGCCGCCCCTTGGCTTCCGCACCCGTATGATGGGGCCATGGCTCCAGGGAGCGGGGCGCTGGGAGCCCCTGGGACATCACCTGGGGCTGTTGCCAACATCGGGGGGGTCATGCAAACTAGCCACAGCCTCCCTTCGTGGCCAGACCAAGAGCAGTGGCGCTCTGAGGCCTGGGTCAGCTGGGTGCTCAAGGACTGAGAAGGTGACCTTTGGTCCGACTGCTCCCCACAAGGAGCATGGCGGGCTCCCCATAAGCACAAAAGTCTCCACCAGACACTTACCCATGGGAGGCCGGAGTGTCGCACACCACCCTCACGAACCCAGGCTGCGGCAAGGACAACAGCAGCCCCGGTCACTGAGTCGGCCACGCCAGCAGGGCAGGGACACTTCATGAGATCAACACTTTGAACCCCCAATCCTCTGAGGTAGGTACTATTATTATCCCCATCTTACAGGAAGAAAAACTGAGGTTCTCAGAGATTAAATGAATCTCTGGTTCCACAACTTGCTTAAGGTCACCTGACCGCTAGGTGGCGGACATAGGAGTGTAACTCGGGGTCCCCCAGAAGGACCCCCCCGCTGCAGAGCCCTCCTCCTTAACCACCCTTAACACTGCCTTTCAGGAAGAGAAGCCACGTTGGGAAGGTGAGGCTGGACAAGGCCAAGGACAAGGCACCAAGAGAACGAGGCGGACAGTACCCCACCGTCGGCTTTCCTTAGACGATCAGCATTTAGAAGACCAGGAAGTTCACTGTCAAACCACAGCGAGGCCGGCAGGTCACCAGGCACTCAGGAGTGGCCCTCACGAGACACAGCGCTTCACAGTTTGCCATCTATTTTTCTGTCCAGGCTCACAACTGATCTGCTTGATAACCACAAAGCAAATACTTATTGGTCCCCGTTTATAGAGACTTGGAAATGCAGCCTCAGGCAGGAAGTGACTTCCTGCAGCGGCACAGCCAGTGGGTGGCAAAGCCAGGACCAGACTCGTGACCCTGTGATTCCAAACTCAAAACTCTTCCCAGTAACGACGGGGCTGATGGCAGCCCCGCCAATGACCCTGGGTCATCTCATCGGGTCCCATCATTAGGTCCCTGTGCGGACGAGGAAATCGCAGTGCTGAGTGATGACTGACCAGCCCAAGGTCACACCGTTAACGAGTAGTGCCAAAGTCAAGATAGGAACCCAGCTCCAGACCCACGTAGTTGGCCACAGCTCCGCGGGGTAGGACACTCCAGACGGCGGCTCAGAGGCTGCAGCTTCAGGTGTGTGCGCTGAGGAATTGTCAGGAAAGAGCCAGCAGTCAGAATGTTTGAGGATAAACCAAAGTGAGCAAAGTCCGGGCGCCGTTCCAAATTCTCCAGGTCGTCAGGACGAGCGGGGGAGGGGAGAGGGAGGGGAGAGTGAGGGGAGGCAGGGGCTCAAAGACACCAAAGAGGCTTTGATGCTTCACCTTCAACTCCCCCCTCTAAGAAGTAGATTTTGCTAATTAAGGGGGAGAATTTTTCTTAAAAAAACTTGTTCAAAGTCACAAAAGGCCATGTGTTATTATGATTTCATTTACATGAAATGTTCCCAAAAAGGCAAATCCATAAAACAGAAAGCAGATCAGCCGTTGCCAGGAGCTGGGGGGTGTGGGGGGTGACTTAATAGATCTTTTCGGGGTGATGAAAATGTTCCGAAATTAGACAGCGGTGGTGGTTGCGTCACCGTCTGAATATACTTAAACCCATTAAGCCGCACACCTATAAAGAGGTGAATTTTATGGTAAGTGAGCTATAGCTCAGTAAAGCTCTTTAAAAACAAAGTGACGTGTCTGAACAGTGGAGAGCCTGGACCGTCTAACCGGGGGCAGGTCAGGGAAGGAAGAGCTGAGGAGGTCGCTCCAGGGGCCCAATGTGCCTCCCACAGGGCGTGTCCTGCAGGGCGGGCCTGCGACCACCCTGCGGCCGCGTGGCACTGCCCCATGCGCGCCCAGCTACACGGGCCTTGGTCCCACCCGTGTCCAGCCGGCCCTCCATATCCTCGTGTTTCACATCCTCAGGTTTAAAATATTGGGAAATCAAAATCCAGAAAGTTGATCCCTGAGTAACACAGTATAACAACTATTTACATAGCATTTGTATGAGGCATTATAATTAATCTAGAGATGATTCAAAGTATATGAGAGGAAGTATGCAAATACTAAGCCATTTTATAAAAGGGATTTGTACTCATCTTGCTCCTTTGGCCACCGGCCCTTTGCACGGACCTGTTCCCTCAGCTCAGACACTTCCTCCACTCTGCACCGGACCTCAGCTCCAGTGTCGCTTTCTCGAGGCAGCCACCCCGACCCCCTCCCGAGGCCCTGACCTCCGGACAAAGCCCCGGCACAGCCCCCATGCCGCGTGTGTGTGCCCCCCTCAGAGCCCTTGGTGCTCCCCCTGACCTGGGCGCGTGTGACCCACCTGCATCCTCCCCAGACCGCAGCCTCGCAGGCGAGGGTGTGCCTGTCTCCCTGGACACCTCCAGGCCTCAGCTCGGCACCCGTCTCCCTGGGCACCCAACAAACATTGGAGGGAGGGGGGCAGGTGGGCACCGCAGGGGCCAACAGTGAGGCAGGGCTGTGGTGTCACGCCTGCCCGGAGGGGCCCTGTTCGTGGGGCAGACGGGCCCAAAGGCAGCAAACAACGGGGTCCGCGTAGGAGAGGGAGACGCAGGCACTAGGGACGCCCCAAGGAGGCTGTTGGTGGTCAAGACAGATAGTTCTGAAGAGCAGGACACACTCATAAGCTGGAAAAATGCTGCCCTTAAAAAAAAAGAATCAACTGCCCCCTGGAACTGAGAACAAGCCACAGTGTTTGGCGATGTTCAGTCAAGAGAAGGGCCACATGCTGCGTGACCCCAGAGAAAGAACTTGGCTCCACCCAAGGGCAGGGCTTTCCACAGAGCAGGCCCCGACCCAACGCAGGGATGATGGGGCAGACGGGGTTGAAGACCCGGGGAAGTGGGGAGGGTCAGACACGGCAAGAGAGACAGACATGACAATGGGAGGGGGAGCTAAGCCCAAGGGGAGGGGCCTTGGGGCCCGTGTATGGAGGGGGTGGGGGGAGTAGAGAATAAAGCAAGCGCTGAGGGTCCCCAAGGGCCGTCCCAGCCAGGGAACTAAGAAGACGAGGCTCACAGCACACCCACCCGTGGCTCTCCCTGCCCCCAGAGGTCGGAGAGCTGCCTCCTCCCACGTGCACTCACGCTGGCCCCTCCTTGCCTGCCAGTTTTCTGTGGGGTGACCTCTGCAATGACTTTGGATGGGGTGGACGCAGGGCGGGAAGCATCCCTACACCTTCTGCTCCTCTCACGTCTCCCTGCGCTGCCCGACACTTGGGAAAGGTAGGTCCCGGCCCCTGGGAACCCTGGGGCACACGGGGGACCAGGATGGGGGGCCGGGACTCGGACTCGCGCCACCGCGCCCTCTCGTGCGTTCCCAAGCTGGGAGACGAGGCCCCAGCTGTCCATTGTGCCGCTGGCCTGGAGGGGTCCAGGTGACCCAGGGGATGTCCTCCGGCCTGCTCCCTGGTGGGCAGTGGCGTCTGCCCGTCCCGTCCTCCCCAGGTACCTGGTTCTGCAGCTGGGCGGATGTGGCTTGCTGGTCACTGTCCTGGAGGGCCAGCCTCTCCCGTAGGGCTGCCAACTCCTGCAGCCGGGCTTTCTCCTCCTGCAGCTGGGACATGGCCTCCACCATCTTATGCACCATGGGGACCGCACCTGGGGACCCCGACAGGCTCGAGCACCTCCCGCTGCCAAAGAGCCGCCCACCTATGAGCAAAGTAGGGGCCGATCAGCAGGGCAGCAGAGGACCCCGCCTGGCTGAGGAGAGGGGCCCGCCGGGCAGGGCCGACCGGCATGAGGGTGAGGGCGAGGGTGGGGCAGGGCGAGGGCTGGGGGCAGCAGCGGGGTGAGCCTCAGCGCTCCGGGGCCTGCCTCGGAGGAAGTCACTTCCGCAGGGCAGCTTCTGGGGGTTGGAATTGCCGGGGTCAGGGCTCAGGCGAGCAACCTTCCCTGAAGACTCCCTTCAGAGCGTGGGTTCCAGGTCTGATGGGCGATACCCTCTCCGTGGCCAGCCTGCGAGTCACCGCGACTAAGAAAGGCCTGCCTTCCAACAGCCGCTGAGGCGTCGGGGTTACCTCCCCCGAAAACACTGTGCTCGGGGGACAGGATTTCTTTAGACGCCAAACTCTCCCCAGAGTGGAGAAGGGGGGGGATGCCCAGTCTACCTCCCGCTGTGCCCCCAGCCCCGCCCTCCGCAGGGCGTGGCCGCCTGCTCAGGGAGAGGGAGGGAGAGGGAGGGAGAGGAGGGAGTGCCAGGAACAGACAGACCAGAACCTGGAGACAGACACAACACGCGGACAGGAACACAGACAGGTCTGCTCTGGGGCCGACAGCTGCACTCGGCGGACTGAGTGCAGGGACTGCACGGGCAGGAGGACGTGTTAGTACGGGGGGTGGGGGGCGGGGGGGCGCGGTGCCGATTCCAACCTGCGTCTGGCTCCTGCCACAGCCTAACACAGTCCTGCCACCAGGAGCAGGAGGGGGACAGACAGATGGACGGAGGGCAAAGACACAGTCAAGGCCTGTATCCTAGGTAGGAAGCTCGTGAGAGCTCGCTTCAAGGGCACCTGGACCGCCCTGGTCTCTGCTAGGAGCCCCGCGGGAGGGAAGGGAGGAGGAGAGGGCCAAAGGGCAAAGCCCCCAGAGACAGAAGGAAGTGTCCAAGAACGAAGTGTCGGGAGTTGGGGCGGGGGGTGGGGGGGAGTGGAAGAGGAGCGCCTGCTGGCCCCAAGCTTCCACTTGACCCCAGAGCCCTGGGGCTTCTGGGTGTCCCCACAAGAGGTCCTGGAGCCACAGCCCTGGGGGCCCCCGGGGTCTGTGAAGGAAGCCGCCTGCACCTGAAGTCACACACCCCGCTGGCAGCTGTGACCCACAGAGGCAGCAAGTGTGCTCACCAGGATGGCAGAGAAGCCACAGGGCAGCCTGCAGGGCCGGGCGGGGAGGGTGGAGGGAGCAGGTTCCCGGTGGGGCAGACCCTCCCGGCAGTCCGTCCGCAGGAGGGGCAGGCGGTGAGAAGTCCCGCTCCCCGCCCCTTGGAACCACTCTGACAAAAGGCCCTCTAGAGAGCTGGAGCAGGGGCAGCCATTGGTTGGCCAGTGGCCCTGGCCATGTGGCCTGCATATGACACAGATGCATGTCACCCACAGTTGGCCCAGCTTCTGCTCTGTTCTAGAAAGAGTGAGGTCAGACGGATGCTTCCAGGCCTGCCCACGGGGCTGCCGCCACAGGCAGCATGTGACCGGCCTGGCCCTCAGCCCTTGGCAGACTGCGGCGGGAGCTGGGGGGGTGCCCTGGGCTCGGGAAGGGCTGCCTCTGGCAGTGAAGAGATGTACGGGAGAGGCCCCTCAGGGGCTGAGAAACAAGGACAACGGTCCTTGCCCAAAGAGGCACCCTTGGGACAGCAGCCTGGGTGCCATGAGGGATGAGCAGGTATCAGTGGGTGTCACCCAACAGGACACGGAAGAGCCCTGCCTGCCTGGGATGCGGCTCGTCTCGCAGAAGGTTCCGCGACACCCGCAGAGCCCACGCGCCACAGGGTCCATCCCAACCTCAGCATGGCGTCCCTGCGCCGGGGCAGCTGCAAGGGTGCCTGGCGAGGGCTCTTTGGGGGAGAAAGGACCTTGAAGAAGCTAAGGGACAGTGGGAGATCCAAAAGGCACTTGGGGACAAGCGATCAGACAGGACCTTACACGGAGGAGGCCTCACACCTCTTAGTAGGTCAGTTTTCAAAACAGTGTGTGTCTCAGACACCCCGCCTGGGCACGGCTCCTCGCAGGCCCCACCCTGGCCGCCCGGACAAAGTCAGTCCTCACTCTTGACTACAAGGGGCCTCTCTCCTCTCAGCCAATTAGGAGAGGCCACCTGATTGGCTGGGCGAGGTCTCCCTCCCCAAGGCCTGTCTGCCCGGACCTGGGCCAGACCCTGGCACCTGCCACGGAGCACCAGCGTGCCAGGCCCAGACGGGCGCACAAACGCGTCTCTGGCACAGACTCAGAGGGGGATTCGATGCTCCCACCCCAAGGCAAGTTCAGGCACACAAATCAACCTCTGGTGACAGGAAGAGGGGAACACGAGAAAGACCAACGCTTTTCTTTCCGCACGCCCTTCGCCTCCCCCTTGTGCTCCTTGAGGGTGCTCCTTCCCAGTGACCGCTGGACTCAGGCTTCCCTCCGGGGAATCCCACGAAAGGGGCCCATAGAATCTTCCAGAACCAGTCAGCCTTGCCAGAGACGAGTGGAGCCACCAGCCCCTCTCCCTCGGCCTCGAGGCAGTGGAGGAAGGCCCTGTCCTAGGGTCCCTGGGTCCCCGGTGGGACCACGGGTACGAGGGGAAGTGGTCAGGCCACTCTGCACACGGTGGCATCTTTTCCCCGTCGCCCTGCTTTTGACAGACGCTGGGGAAAAGACAAAAAGCGGGGAAATTCAACCCCAGCCCGTGCTGGCCAAAGCCTCTTATCACCGAGCAAGCGAGCGGGGCCCCAGCGGTGCTGGGAGGCGGGGCCCCAGGAGGAGGGCTGGGCGGGCTGGGGTCTCTGAGCTCCATGCCGCAGCGTCCAGGGTTTGGATGGGCTGCCTCCTGGCGAGAAGGACAGTGTGTGGGGACAGCTCAGATGCCCCCAGAGCCTCCCCTCCAGCGCCAGCCTTAGCCAGGCCGTTCCAGGCCAGTGAGCAGTCCTCTTTTACCTGTTTTCTCTACATTCATGGTGCCACCAGCTTCCTGGGCCTCCCGGTCCCGCCTGGGGGCCGGCGCCTGCCTCTTCAGGAGCTTCTCGTCTTTCGTCCCCTGACTCTTGCTCTTGCACCCCTTGTCCTGCAGGGCCTGCTGCCAAGACACAACCAGAATCCTCCCGTGAAGGGGGCTGCGGCGGGGAGGGATGCCCGCGAGCTGGAGGATGCTGCACCCCTGGAGCTGCTAAAGACCAGCCCGGCAGGTCCACCCCTCACTGTGCAGGTCAGTGGGGACAAGGAGGCCGGGAGACTGGAAGAAAATGCGCCCAGACCCTGCGGCAGGACAGCGGCCGTGCGTTCCCCTGGCGCCCATCAGCCACCGGCCCTCTCCACCAGCAAAAAGCGTTCTTGGGCGCCTAGATTCCTCCCGTAGGGTCCACCCGACCCTACGGCGCATGAGCCCCCAGAGCGGCAGCCCTGAGCGCTCAGCTCAGGCCCACAGCCTCACCAGGCCCGTGGCAATCACTGGGCGACTGCACCCCACCATGGTGTCAACTGTCCCCAGCTCCCCATGGCACCGGCCTGCCAAGGAGGGGCCACGCGGGTCCACGCAAGCAGAGAAAGGTCACAGCCCACCCCTCCGTGGCCCGTCTCCTGGTCAAGGAGGAGCCCAGGCAGAGAAGGCTGGGCAGAGCAGCGGCTGGGCCGGCGGGGAGGGGAAGGTGAGAGACAGAAAGTCTTTCCTCCAGGGAACATAACCTGCAGCTAACACAGAAAGACGCCCGAGGCAAGAACCTCACACCAAGTGCAATCCCATTTGAGGGTAAGAGAAATAAAATACACCTCGAAAAAAACCACCTGGGAAATGTAAGGAGCTTGGTTCTCCCTGGGAGGTCAGGTGATGCATCTCCCTGATGCATCATTTAAACTTTTTTGAGAATTAAGGGGGGGGGGGCAGGGAATAAAGCAGAAGGTGGTAAGAGGGAAAGAAGACTTTACATTTCATTTTGAACCTGGCTGGCATTTGCATTTTTAACCTTCTAAACACCCATAGTTTCTGTTTTGTTTTTGAACCTCAACTGAAGGTACCTGGGAAGAGGGATTCCAGGCCTGTTTTGTGTGTCTTTGTGCCCACCATGGTTCCAAAATGACACAGACGCGTGCTGCGGTCTTAAACATGCTCCGGGTCTGCAGTCGGAAAGGCTGGCGGGCTCCCTGCCTCCTGGGGGCCGTGTGGCTCTGGGCAAGTCCCTTCCCTTCCCTGAAGCTTCATTGCCCCTGTTCTTAAAGTAGAGAAGGTAGCAACCACCCGCCTCACAGAGCTGGTGTAAAAAGTAACCGGGATGACACGGTAGGCAAATAATCAAAGTGTCTGACACATGTTAAGTGCTGCACCCCAGGTAGCATTATATTATTTCTGTAGTCTTCAAATTTTTTACTTTTAGCATCAAAAAGCCAATAAAGGGAACTGAAAAAAAGTGGAAAGTGACATCACCAGGTTACTTAGTTTTCAGTCTACTCCCTCCCTCTCTCGACCTCACGTTCTGCTTGAGGAGGGAGGGCGGAGAGCCCATCTCTCGTATTTAGGAAAATGCTGCCAACTTTATTTCGTCCCCACCCTTTGACCAACTGCCACACCATCACGAGCAGGCTTGTCAGCGGTGGCGGCAAAGGCCGGCAGCTGGAAGTTTCCATTTGCCGGCCAGAGCAAAGGTTACACTATTTCTGGCCTGTTGGCCAAGCCACAGGAAGGGCAGACGGCCCCCAGGGGGTTGGGAATTTCTACCGTGCCTCCACAGGGACAGTCTCAGGTTTTCGCTGTTTGAGAGGCTGGTGGGGAGGGTCGCCAAGCCTGAAGTCACCTCCCTGTGTCTGGGTCCCTACTGCAGCCCCACATCCCCGACCTTGAAGGACCTATCAACGTAACAGAGCTTTGTAGGGCCCAGAAAGATGCGAACATGGAATACTGGCTGCTGGCTGGAGCTCCTCGGGGCTCCTGGGAAGATCTGCTGACCCCAGGAATCGCTGCAACCACAGCCCAACACCCCATAATCAAAAGTCAAGAACAGAGCCACCGCCCAGCTCCAAGCAGCCAGTTTCTGACCACCTCCCGATTTAACTACCAGTGGCCCAAGAGAAAGGAAAAAAAAAAGGCTTTCTGGTTTCTTTAACTGTTCTCGTACCAGACCTGCTTTTCTCACAGAACCTACAGATAACAGGACCATTTGGTTCAGTTCTCAGAAGGCCCAGAAAAGCCTTGAAGCCCAAGGCTGTCTCTGAAGTAACATCAAGCTCCTGGGACCCATGTTCAGATCAAGGCTTGGGGCCAGCTGCCACCCGGGACCAGGACTTTTGTCTGCATAAGGGAGGACATGCTCAAAGGGCATGAGAGTTTCCCACACCCCATCTGCCCTCCATTTGCACGCGGCCCTTCAAGGTGTGCCCCCTCGTGCACACTCTTCCTTGATGCGCAGAGCCCAGGTAACTCTGGTCCCTCATCCTCAGCCTCTGCCTCGTGGCCTTGCCCCTTCCCACTCCTACATCCGTGATCATTTGATGACTCTCAGCACCTCCATTAGACTTTCAGGTCTATAGCTCCTCTTTGCTGCGCGTCAGCACCTAGCACAGCACCTGGCACAGAGTAAGCGCCCCACAAGTACATGTTAACAGATGCAAGCACTGACAAAGTGCAGAAGCCGGGCATCCTTCATTACTCAACCCTGCAGCTGCATGAACGTGTAGAAGACATTCAAGGCGCCCACTGCAATCAGAACTAATACAGAGGGTCAGTTAGGAAATTCATGGTAAACCCCGAAGTAGAATATTACGTGGCAGTTCAAAAGAATGAGGTAGTTCTTTAAATATTGACGTGTGTGAAGAAACACCAACGTTTACTGTTGAAGGAAAGAGCCACAGACTAGTATGCAAGAATAAATAATTTTAAAATGTATACATACAATTAAGTGGTTATATAGGAAAGATAAAACATTCAACTCTAAATAGTGGATTTCTCAAAGATACAGGATATCGGAGGCATTTAGTTTCTGGGTGTTACCTTTCTGCCCTGTGCAAATTCTTTACGTCACATGTTATAAAGCTTGTCCTATTTAGCGGTTCAGATCCCAGCTTGCTGTGTGACCAGGAGCAAGTTACTTAACTTCTCTGAACCTCCATTACTTCATCCACGAAACTTAGATAAAACAGTTAACTGTCTTGAGACTGTTCTGAGGACTGACGTGAGATATATGATACATGGTACAGCGCCCGGCACAAAGTCTGTGCTCAATAAATAGTAGCTATTCTTACTGCTATCATCCTGTATTATTTCTACAACCAAATATCCACACATATGTGAAGTCTGTCTTTTGAAAGTCACCTGGTGATTACTGCAAGAGAAAAGTACCCGGGTTTTGGCGAAGCCCCGTCTACCTTACAGTGCCCCCTCTAAAGCATCGCCTGATGGTCTCACATACCCGAGAGGGAATAAACAGCTACCTTAAAACCTGCCTGTCTTCCTAGTAGCTCCTCAGAGAAGGCCCACTTTTCCCACTTTATCCGCCCTGGCCAGGGTGTGGCTGCATAGCTTCTGTCATCTCCTGAGATTTCCCCTTAGATAACCTAATAAAGCAAATTGCTCCATCTATACAGGCTCACGGTGGATGTGCTGTGAGGCGCTTGGCAAAGAGGCACAAGGCAGGTCCCTGGCTCTCCCTCAGACTCTCTTTCCGCCTAGAAGCTGTAGAGATCCAGCTGCCAAAGCTGAGAGGAAAAAGCCACACCCACCTGGCCAGCCAGTCCCATTTCGGAAGCCCCCAGTGCTTACCTGCACGCTCAGGTAGAGCCTGCGGGGGCTCCCGGGGCCGGTGCAGTCCACGCTGAGGGCTCGGCACTGAGCTAGGGCCGGGCGAGCCGCGCTTCGGGCGCCAGGGTCTTCATCACTGCCGGCCGGGGTGTCTTTTCCGCGCCCTGTCCCAGAACAGGAAAGATAGGTGAGGCCCTGCGACTGCTGGTCGTGGACCTCTGGGCAGGGCCGTGGCCAGCCCGGCTTGCACACGCTCCAGCCACCCCAGGAGTGGTGAGGAGGCACGCACGTGCTCCCACACGCCTGCCCTGCACGGAGGGGAGCCTGGCACCGGGCAGGGGCTGCGCTCTTTTCTTACCAAAAGCCACTCCAAGATTCTCTACAGGAGGGCCCCCCTCCCTCTGCAGTGGCTCTGGAGCTCACACTTGCTCCTGGGCACCCTCTGCAGAGAGCAGCAGAGGAAGCCAGGCCAACCAAGCTGTGCTAATTAATCATCGGCGGTGCGCCCTAGGGCCACGGCTTTATTACCCTGGCTGCCTCTAGGTGGCAACTTCTCCCCTGCCTTCATTAAGACCAACCCCATGCTGGGTGACCTGGTCCCTGTGACCTCCAAAAGCCCGCTCAGGACCAGCTAAAGTGCATCCCTTGTGCCTCCAACAGGTTGCCTCTTTCACCGGAGGGAGGAGAGGGCTGATTGTGGCAACGACACCCCTCCACCCCACCTCAACCTCCCCCACAGCCTGCGGGACAGACTGGGCAGGAGGGGGCTCGCCTCACGGGCAGCCAGCAGAGCCGCCGCCCTGGGCTGGGATGATACCCTAAATGCCAGCCGGGGCCAAGCGCCTTCCAGGCCTTCCTGCCCTCCTTGATCCTCAGTTTCCTTGTCAATAAAATGGGGAGAGGAAACCAAACTCACAGTCCTGTGGTGAGGACAAAACGCATGACCCACATAAAGTGCTCACACAGTGCCAGGCGCTCAGAAAGATGGCGGCTCGGGGCCAGCCAAGCTAGCAGAGACCCTACCCAGTGGCAGGGACTATGCCTAGGATTCCGCGCACAGGATTTCGCTTGACCCCTGTCTCAAATTTTAGAAGCGGATAAAAGCCTGTGTAGTCATAGAATCCTCATAATACTCATGTGATAGACCTATATGCATACATGCATACACGTGCACACACAAGACTGGGAGGGACTACATGAAATGCTTAGTGACAAGCTTAGACAACTTTTTGTCACACTTCGTTTTATTGTGCTCTGCAGATACCACGCTTTTTACAAATCGAGGCAAGACCCTCCACCAGCAAAAAAGATTAAACTTTATTGCAATACTCTCTTTGTTGAGGGGGTCTGGAACTGAACCCACAATATCTCCAAGGTATGCCTGCAGGTGATTTTTATTTCCTTGTTTATACTTTGTTTTGGGTTTTTGTTTTTTAGTTTTTCAAGGGCAGGTGTTTTTTGTTTTTTTTTTTTTTAAACCAGAAAAACAATCCTTGTTCCTATTCCATTTGTAATCCTTAGGACAATCTTGTGGGGCAGAAACTAGCTTCAGTCCTTCCCAGACAACTGGGGCTACCTGACCCCTAAGCCTAAGCTTTTCCTGCCGGTCCCCAGGGCCATCCCCGCCTCACCGTCCCCTACAGAGAGACCTTGGAGGGCACCACCCAGGCTGCCACTGATGGCACAAATGAGAGAGAGGGAACCAAAGAGGATTTTGCTGGGCGCCCTCTCTGGGCCTCCGTTTTCCCCTCTTCGCATCTACAGTCTTGGATCTGATGTCGGGGAGAGTCTGCGAGCTCAGGCAGGCTGGTGAGCTAAGCCCCTTTCCCTGCAGATTAAGAACAAATAGCAAACACCAGAAAGCATCTTGCCTGAAGACACCACTCTGCCCTGACACTTCCAGGAGGACCTGCTCCAGCCGAACTCGGGAGAGGGTCCAGGGCAGCTCCCCAGCCCTGGCAATCCCGACGATCCCGCCCCAACCCAGAACCAGCGTTGCTGCTCACTTCTTGACGCGGGTGGCACCAGGGGACATGACCCAGAAAGGAGAGCTGGTGTTGACAGCTCCCCCAGCGGGGCAGGGAGGGGGGCAGATTCGGGAACTCCTTCGCTGCCCACCTGCTGTCGGGGACCCCTAGTAAGCACCACCTGAATGGCGCCGAAAACCGAGCGCACGGCACCCAAACCCCGCCAGGCCCCGCTCCGGGGCAGCCTCAGTCCACTCCTCCCGCCGTCCGCGGGCCAGCCCAGGCAGGATCAAGTGTCAGCGGCGCGCAGGGAGCCGGGCAGCCACCTCGCCTACCTTGTTTACCAGCTGCGGGCAGGAACCGGAGGGGGACCCTGAGCGCTCCGCCAAGGACCGGCGGACCGCGGAGCTAGCCCGACCTGGCCCCTGGCCGGGCCGGGACCGCGTGGCAGTTGGCAGCGCTCTCTGCCCGCTCTCGGGGCCGCGTTAAAGTTTAACTCGGCGCCCGCGAATTCTCAGCACAGGCAGCGCAGGGCAGCAGCCCCAGCGAGATTGACGCCCCGACTCCACACCCGGCTCGGCTCGCCGGCTGCCGGACCCTGTAATTTACCTGACAGCTCTGACTGAGCCTAGGAACTTGCGAGAAACCTCGCTCTCATCTCTGGTATCTGGAGGAAGGAAGGGAAATAAAGAGGCATTTTAAAAATGCGGACTCACCAGTTCTCAACCTCCCTGGGCCGGTGTGTGGGAAAGGGCGGGCGGCCGGGCTGGCTGGGGCGGGGCGAGCCATCCCCGGCTCGGGCTCCGGGGCCCGGCCCACTCTCCACAGGCTGCGCAGCGAGGGCGTGGCTCCCAGGTTCCAGGTCCGGCGGGACTGGACCATGGCCCGGGGCTCAGCAGCCTCCTCCGGGCCCCCAGCAGCCTGCGGAAACAGCAAGGGGAGGAGAGATTGAGGACGGCTGGCCTGGCCTGAGCCCAGGTCTAGAGGGTCTGCACCAACTCCCATGTCCCCCAAGGGCACCGGGCTCACGTGGAATAAAAACGGGCCTGTCACCATTCGGGGCAGGGAGGCTCAGAAAGGGGTAAGGAGTCCATCGGGCAAGTCTGCAGCGCAACGTGGAGATCCCCATCTGGTCTTGTGGGGCTCTGAGCCTGGCAGCTTGAAGACGCGCCAGGTCACAGCCCCACAAGGAGGAAGCATGAGTCAAAGGCACCTCTGCAAACCTAATCAGAAGGGACTCAGACGGTGGCCAATGACAAGTTAGGTTTATATATCAAATTCTCTGGAAGTCAGCTCATTCCCGTATTCACACTGGCCCTCACTCCAGGCCTGCAACGCAGCAGGCAACCGCCTAGGAGTTGAGATACAAAGATTCATTCATTCTTCGTTTAATTATTATTTATCGAGTGCCTGCTGTGTGCCAAGCACCTGCCAGGAGTCCTCTTTGATCAGGAGAAACATGGCCTCACAGCTCCCTGTGGGGAGGGAGGTAAACAGTTCAACAAACCTTCACAGTCACAACAGGCTGCAAGGAGGCACCCAGGCGGGCGGTGGGAGGACCGGGGTGGGGTGGGGGGCACAGTCCAGACAGAAAGCTCCATAGATCCCTCCTAAACTGAGCAAATGAACAAAGCAGAATTCCCCCGTTCACTGCACAAATTTTTATTGAGCACCTATTGTGTGCAAAACAGCCTTGAGGGCATTTGAGGTGACCAAGCTACAGGCCCAGACTTAGACCAATAGTGACTCCATTTCCAGAAACCATGTCAGCCCCGAAAGGAAATGAGGAGTTTGCTTTTGATTTTAAAATGGAGTTGGAAGTACCCAAGGACTTCTTACTGGTTCTCCCTGGGTCGAAGACCACTTTCCCTGTCTATCACTGCCCCGACCGCTTTCTACCAGGCAGCAAAGGTATCTGTCTGAACAGCGTCCATCTCTCCTGATCCTCTATGGCTCGCTCCCCAGGGGGAAGCTCCCCTCAGGTTCATCTTTGCAGCCGCACAGCACCCAGCCCGGAGCTACAGCTACATCCACACCAAATACCCAGCGAAGGCTTCTTGGCTGAATGCCCTGAAATAAGCGCACGCAAAGCCTCAGACAGAAGCTTGGAAGAGAGCAGGCCTGAATACGCAGACTCAGAGCTGGGAGGCCCCTCTGCCACAGGGGATGAAATCACCGAAGGTCAGGCAGACAGGAGGCAACCAAGGGTGGGAAGAGTCTGCTCCAGGTGGGAAGGACAGGTGGAGAAGCGAGGTGGAAGGAGCTCCAGGCAGGTGCAGAGTGCCCAGAGGTGACCAGTGAGTGGGAAGGAGAGGGTGGTTACTTCCCAGTGAACCATGCCTCAGAGGGGGCAAGCTGGAAGAGAGCTCCTGGGGGCTCTTTAAGGGAGCGTGTCCATGGAGCAAGGTAGAGGGCAAACCAAGGGGTGTGCAGGGGCCTCAGGAAGCCACTGCTTCCTTCTCTTTGGGGAGGTCTGGCTAGGGAGGAAGGAGAGGCTGCGTCGGGAGGATGTGGTACTTAGGAGCCATTGGAACATCTTAGGCTGCAGAGGGGAAGGAATGATTGAAGCATCAAGAGAAAAAAGAACTGTGTGCAGGGACAAGTGGCCCAAAGACATGGTGACTGCTGTCCACAGAGCTGAACCCTGGAAGACTGCCAGGCTCCTGACGAGGGGCCCGTGGTCCCTGCCTTCCTTACTGAGGAAGACAGCATGCAGGAGGAGGCTCCAAGGTGCAGCCTCGCTGGGTGACGGGCAGGACTGCGGGCCAAAGGATGGGGCAGAGGCTAAGCCAAGCATGTGGGCTGGCTCCATGGAGGGACAGGAGACCAGGGGGAGCAGCCAGGCAGCCTCTTCTCCAGGCTGCTCGGCACAGAGCCAGGCACACAAACAGCCCCAATGCCCAGCTACCCGATGGGCACGGAGCGAGAGAGACGGACTCCATCTGCATGCTGAACAGGGTGCTGAAAGTCAATTCCACGGTTGCAGGGAGAGGCTTTTAAGGAGATCCGCTAAGTCCGAGGGGCAGGGACAGGAAGAGACAATATTTCTGTGGCTTTGCGGAAGGGAAGTCAGGGAGGCAGCCAGGAAGATATCAGGAAGAAAGAGGAAGGGTGTGTGCAAGATCCTGAAGAGGAAAAAGCAGCTGAATTTAGCAGCGGGGGGTGTAAAGATCAAAAGTACCAAGGACTCAAACAAGCCCAAAGCCAGGGCTGCTACCAACCTAGCACCCACGGGGTGGGGCCTGGGGCCCTTGGGTCAGAGTCGCTGTGACCAAAAGCTGGTGCAGACCCTGGCTCTGCTACGTACTGGATGTGTGACTTTGGGAAAATTACTTTGCCTCTCTGGGTATCATGACCTTCGTCTGAAAATGGGCACAAGTCCACCACACAGGGTCGGTATAACGATTAGACAGTGGAAATATGAAGCGTTCAGAACAATACCGGCATATACAAAGAACTCAAAGGTTTTCTTCTCCAGCGATCGCCCCCCAGGGGTGCGTGCAGACAGAGGGGGGCTGGCTTCAGGACCGGGGCACTGCCTCTGGGGGTTCAGGCCCTGTTGGTGGAGCTGCAGCACTTCCCGCCCCTCCAGACCAGGAACACTGCAATGACTGAGGGACAGGCTTGACAACTGCCCAGAGACTTCTGCTGGGGAGGGCTTAGTCTCCCTGGGAGAGCGGGCAGAAGGTCAGGGAGGTTGGACAGGAGCTAGCACCGCCCCTACACACTGTGACCGGTCATGGGTTTTCCAGGACATCCTGAGTTCAAAACCTCTGCTCCCTTCGTGTCCCTAAGGACAGCAGAACTCATCACCCTATGTCCCTCAAGTCCAGCCAGGGAAAGCACAGGGCTCCATTCTGAGGCTGCATTCTTGGCAAATGACTCCCCTCCGCCAAGGAGAAGGCTACTTTATCAAGGGCACAGGCAATAGGCCTGGGCAAGGAGAGGTCCGCGCCCAGCCTGACACCGGGAGCAAGGCAATGTGAAAGGCCAGGGGCGGCCACTACCTGCAGCCGTGACACTCGTGTGCTGGGGGTTGGGGGCGTACTTGAGTGTTTAAACACAGCTTCCTCTTTAAAATCTTCCAGGACCAGGCCCTTCACTGCGCCAGAGTTCTGCTGTAACTCACAGCGGGGGGCTGAAGAAGGGGGCTTCTGGCTTGCTCTCCCTGCTGGGCCCCCCCAGGCTGCTGCTGTCAATGGCTCAATTCTCCCACTGCCCAGACGCTCCTTCCTAATCCCAGGGCTGGCCCGCATTCCCGGCCCTGCGAGGGGGAAGCGACCTGCCCAGGGACCGTACGCGGTGGGAGGGCCCGAAACTGCAGCCTTCCAGGGAGCCCTCGGGTGCGGGGCACCTCTGCAAAGGGAAGAGGCGGCGCTGACGGACATGCGGTTCCCTGGCAGGGTTTGGCATTCCCGGGCCAATGAAATCGAAATGGGGTCCCAAGGCGGCTCTGATCCTAGGGGACGTACCGCCCCATGCCGTGCTCTGGACCAGGTTCCCCGGCTCTGGCTGGACCGCGCGGGAGGGGCGGCAGGGCACTGCACAGGGCTGGGTCTCCGGGGCTCGGTCGTCCCTGCGCCCCTCAGCGGGGCCGGGCAGGGGGATCCTGCGACATTGTGGGCCCGGACGCGGCACCCCGATCAGCGGGCCGGGGGACGCCCAGCGCCCACCCCGCCCCCAGCCCCCCACCGGGCTCCCAACTCACCGGCCTGGCGGAGGCAGAATCCCGGCTTCGCCGCAGCGCCGGGGGCTCGGCCGGGCCCCGCCAGCCGGCGGGAGGCAGGTCCACGCCGCCGCCTCTACGGCCCGCCCCGCTCCGCCCCTCCCGCACACTTTCCACAGGAAATGATTAACTCTCGCCGCGGCGAGTTCCCATGGCAACCGGCTCCGACCCAGCGGGGGGCGGCGGTGCGCACGCGCGCTCCCGTGCACTCTCACGCGCTCACTCACACGCGCGCGGCTGCCCACTCCCCGACTGCCTTTGCTCCGCCCCGAACGACCCCCCGGTGCCGCGACTCCTCGCGCCCCGCGCACGCTAGTGCACACGTGCGCGCTCGCCCACCGGGGCACACGCCTGCTCATGCGTCCTTGCCCGGACTCACACCCTGGTACGCGCCTCCCTCACACATACTCCAGGCGCTCGAACGCATTCCCACACCAGTTTCTACATACATACTTTTGCACTTAAAACTTACACTCCTACACATGCATCTTCAAATCCTAGTACGAAACTTTCACATGCACCAGTTAGTACTCACGTGCACTTCCATGCCTCCTCGCTGCCCTTCGTACGCTCACACACTCTAGGACACGTTTTTTGACATTCTCTCACACGCTTCTACGCACTCTTAACACGCTCTAGCTAGTACATGTATACACTGTCACATTCTCACACACTTAACACATGCACCCACATGCTTTCCCACACACACTCCCCATGCCCCTTGGTTCACGTGTGCACCTCCACATGCTCTGTGACTTGTTCTCTCACTCTAGCACACACATTCTTTTAAACCCGAGAACACACGTTCACGTGTCCCCTCCCATGCGCTTTCACACATTATCACCCGTTTTCACACGCAGCCTCTTACTAGCTCTGGTAGGAATACAGAGGTCAGGCCGCGTCCCCAGGCGGTGCGCCCCCGCAGCCCTCACCTCCCTGGGCAGATCAGTATCTTCTAGAGAAGAGCTATTTGGGGGTTTTTTTAAGGTAAGGTGCTCCGTTCAGCTCCAGTGAAAACGCCGTGTGGAGGGCAGCAGCTCGCAGGGTAACCCCCAAGGCCCTCTTCCTAGATGCCTGGAGGAACCAAGGAGAGACAGCTGACCCGGAGGAGCCGCTCTGTTCTTTGTCTCCCGAACAGAGGCGGCATTTTACTCCCGAGGCAGCAGCAGGATTCCTCCTCCAGGGTGCGGAAGGAGGAGAAAGGAAGCTCAGAAGCCGGCCCAGTGCAGGCTGATGGTGCCGCAGATAATCCGAGGAGGGTGGGCACTCTGCCCCTTCCTGCTTGGCAGCGAATGGCCCCAGCAGCAAAGAGGGGACTGAAGGGGGCCCTGTAGCCCCAGGAAATTCTGTCTCCTGCTGCTGCCCAGGCACTGGGCTGGTGGTCAAGAATCTCCACCAGAGCCAGAGCCAAGGTTCCGGGCCTCGGATTGTTCTGGTTGCCACACCAGGACATTTCCAATCCCCCTGCTGGAAGTGGGCTAGTGTGTGTTTTATTTTCTAACAAAGATGCCCGAGCAAAAACCCAACAGAGGATAAATGTCCCTTTCCTCAAATGGTTCCCTGGGGAGTTAGAGGTTTCCAGATAAGAGTCCCGGATAGCCCACCCAATGGGAGAAAAACCATAATTTGAGAGTTACCTTCTTCAAGTCCCCCTGCCCGCCCTCCAGACAGTAGCGGTCAGGGGACCTGCAGGGTTGGATGAGGAAAAATTTCTCTGGACTCCTGACCAAGTGTCTCCCTTTGTTATAGTCCCTATTATCTGATTGGGGGTGTCTCCCTTTGTTACAGTCCCCATGATCTGATTGGGGGACAGGGGTGGTGTCTGCCTTTAAAGTCCTGGCATAAAACCGGATGCCTTGTCTTACTTGAAGGCCGGTACACAGACATAGAAGTTCCTTCCAACAAAATCGAAGCCAGATTTTTAAGTTAATAATAACATTTCTTGTTCTTTATCTCTGATTACAAAAGAAATAGATATTCATTGTAACCCTAATCCCACCCACTAGAGATAAACGCTGCCAACACTTTAGGACATTCTTTTTTTTTTTTTCTATGCACATAATAGCTACCATTTATTCAAAGCTAACACCGTGCCAGGCACTGCGCTAAGCTCTTTATAAACAAGATCCCATTTAACCCTGGACACCCATGAGGTGGGCACCATCGTATGCCCATTTTTAGAAGAGGACACAGTCTCTAAAAGATCACTTGCAAACTCAGCGTGTGATAAAGCTAAGATATAAACCCACCTGGTGTGTGTGTAGATTTACATATGCACAAATTACAGTACCATCCTTTGTGTATAGGTGCAACCGTTTAATAAGATCAAAATGCCAGTGAAGGAAAAAGAAATCTCAGGCAGTAAGAGGAGGCATTTTCAAATTCTAGCAAAACTCTGACTTGAAATGTAAAAATGAATTGCCTTTTTTTTAAAAGGTTTTATTTATTTACTTTTAGAGAGAGGAGAAGGGAGGGAGAAAGAGAAACACTAATGTGTGAGACACACACATGCCCCCACCGGGGGACCTGGGCCACAACCCAGGCTTGTGCCCTGACTGGGAATCAACCAGCAACCTTTCAGTTCACAGGCTGGCGCTCAGTCCACTGAGCCACACCAGCCAGGGCAAAAATGAATTGCTTTTTGATGGAAAAATTTAGTTTAAGAATGCACACTGTCACCAGGAACTACATACCAATGACTTCAGGGTCATTTCTGCGTTAGAAACGGTCACTGCTGGTTGGATGTGGAAACTGCCCACTCTCCCCTGGCTGCAGGGAAAGCAGAGCATTGGCCAGGTAGCCAAGAGCCCGAGAGTTCTGCTTGGGAGGCAGAAAGCGGGAGTCTGCTTGCGTAACCCAGAGTAAAGCACAGCAGCGCTTCCAGATGTCCCAGTGTTAATGATCTAACTGGAGATTCAATCACCCCTAGGCCTTTGCAATGCTGTTCCCCTCTCCTCTAAGTCCTCTCCCACTTACCCTGCCCCTACCTGCCTCACCACACCTTTACCCGACCCCCCCTCGCCTGTCCTTCAAGTCCTTCAAGCGTAGAGGTCACCTTCCGTAACCATCCTAGGCTCCACAGCCACTCAGCTCCCTGCCGTCCTCCCCCATGCCCCACCCCCACCCCACTGGATTGTAACGACCATCAGCTCTTTGAGATCAGGGCCCTTTCTTGGCTTGACCACGGGGAAGGCCTCTGCAGGGCCCAGCATCACGGAGTAAATAAACAGGTCGAGTATAAACCAGGGGGGAAGGACAGGGTGCATTAAACATATCCAAACGGGCTTCCTTCGCGCACAAGTTCATGATAATTCTTATCGAAAGGAAGGAACAGATGGATCCTTAAGCAATTCTTTCCATGTGGTCAGCGAGGAGCACCCTTGCATGATTCTGGGTAATAAATAATTTCTTGAAGTCAGAGAACATTCTGGGTTTACAAGTCACATAGTAAGTAATCCTGAGTGTGTTGGAAGCCGCATCTTTCAGTGCCCCTGAAATAGTCCGTGGTGGGCAACACAGAAAGAGCTGGGGGCAGGGCAGGTCCATGGAGGGGACAGGCCGGGCTCTGCACCTCACCCTTCGAGCATGAGTTTGATCCCCCAGCTGCGGCACGCGGACATGCAACCCCTGAGCATGGTGGGTGGGCTGGCCCTGCCAGCTCTCAGGAAGCCACACCCCTCGGTGGCCAGGAAGGGGCGGGGGAATGTAAGCTCCTATCACTCTCTGCTGCTACAGACTCAGCTGCTACAGGCACTGGGTGCTCAATCAGTGTTCAAACAAATGAGACCCTTACCCCCCCCTCCAACTCTCTCTGTGCCCTCCGCGGCCCTGCCCAGGGATGTCTAATTTCTGGAAGCCGTGTCGACAGGAAAAAAGGTTCTCCCATTTCCAAAGGTCTCTGCAGAGAACAAGGCAACCCTCCTCCCGATAAAACCACCTTGTTTTCAAATCTCTAGACAGCAACTCCTTTCTGCATTTGCCAGGGAGATTGGACTCAGCGGTGCCTCCCTGGCTCTCCAGTGAGGGGAACCTAAAACCTGCTATGGCCTAAGAGAGAATTTGGCAAAGATAACCCTCTCCTGGCTCCAGGGCAGAAAGCAAACAGGGATTTTTCCCCCTTTATCATTTCCTGTAGCCTTAAAAAAAATGAGAGGAATGCAAACACTGAGGAGGTCTGTACTTAAGCACTAGGCGATAAAAAGATTTGGCAAGAATAGGGGGCAGGGAATAACCCTGCTCCTACCCCTCCCTCTCCGAGTCTGCTCTTCAAAGACCCTCCAGAAACCACCAGGGCTCCATCCCCCCAAATACTCCTGGCTTTGCTCCTTGCTCCTAAATCATCCTGTCTCCCTGTTCTAAGCCAAGGCAGGTATTATTAACTCGTTCCCACTTCCCCATTCATTTCTCCCCATCTGCTGCAAATTCGAGGTGTCTGGGTTTTTTTTTTTTCTTTTTTTCTGCACAAATGTAGTAGAAACCGAGAGAGGAAAAAGCCCTGCATCCCACTACCCTTAACTTACTGTCATTGGTCCAGGGTTTCTGTTTGGTACTTGACTTTGAACAGACATTATTGCTTTGTTAGAGAGAGACAAGATGGAGTGATGGTTAAAACTGGGTTTGGGGGCCAGGGGGTCCTGGGTTTGAACCCTGGGTCAGTCACTTCCTCCGTGCCTCAGTTTCCTGCTGGGGCCATGAGAGTCGTACCAGTGCCTGACCCACTGGGTACTAGTAACTAAGTAACAGCAAGCAGGTAAGACCAGTAGGAAGCCCCGCGCAGTCGGCATTCCACAGACACCAGCTAATTACAGAGGGAAGCAGAGTTTGTACAATTTCTACTCTGCCTTTTCTCCCTTCAATTCATATAATAAGCATTTTCCAAGTTACTTTTTCCTCCTAAGGCCAGCTGTTTTCTGAACAGCTGTTTTCAGGCCCAGACTGTGGATGAGGCCCAGGTCCCATTCCACATTGGGGTCCCAATGTCCGGGAACACACGCGGCGCTCCATAAAAATGATGGGAAAAAAATCATTTTAAACGGCTGCATAATACCCCGCTGAACAACACTGC